TTTCCTAAGGGCTAATGAGCCGGGCAGCTCCACCAGCTTCTCTGTCTCAGGTTGGGTTTTGGAGTCTGGGCTATTACCTTTTGTTCCATTATGCTCAGGCTGCTTTAGCGGGTACTAGGTCCTTTCAGATCTGCTGGTATGGGTTCCCTGACACTTCACATGAGCCCTCCGACTATAAAGACAGAAGAGAGGGGCTAAGGAATCCCAGCCCCTGATCTTTAAATAGCCTATTTTCCTCCTGAGAGAAGACCCCAAGACTGTCAACAATCCTTGTGGAAGACAATGTTGTTCAGCTGACATTAGAAGAAAACCCCATGATCATTTTCTGGACTAAGGACTTTGTGTCCCAAGTAATATCTAGAGATCCTCTCAGTTGCTTTCCATCTCCACAACTTCACCCAAATCTCTCTCAGCTATTCATCAGCTAAAACACAGACTGATGGACATTACTCATAATGTTTTCTTTTTCCTTTCTTTTTTTCTGACCATCTTATCAATGTTTTTTTATTAATCAACTTTATTGAAGTATAATTTATAGACAGTAAAATGTACTCATTTAAAGTACAGAGTTCAATGAGTTTTGACAAACACATGCATCCGGGTAACCATCAGCACAATCAAGATATTGAACTTTTCCATCACCACAAAAGGTTCCCTTGTGCCCTTTTGGAGTCAATTCCCAACACCACGACCCCCAGGCAACTACTGGCCTCATTTCTATCACTATAAATAAGTGCTGCTGATTCTAGAACTTCATAGAAATAGAATCATTCAATAAGAACCCTTTCGTTTGTGGCTTCTTTCACTCAGCACAATGTTTTTAATATTCATTCATATTGTTGTGTGTATTGACAGTTTGTTCCTTTTCATTGCCAAGAAGTATTACATTGCATGGATAAACTACAAGTTTGTTTATCCATTCACCTGTTGATTGATACTTGATTTGTTTCTAAGTTTTGGTACTATGACTGCTAAGAACATTTGTGCACAGATCTTCTTGTAGACATGCTTTCATTTCTCTTAGGTAACTATCTAGAAGTGGAATTTCAGAGTCAATTAAAATTTTCTTTTTTTTAATTAAAACAATAAAAATATATCATTGTCTAGCAGAGTTCAAATCACTTCATTTCCACTTGGACACTTAACGGGAAGAGATGACACCATAAGTCACAGAGCAGCCCACAACTGAAAAGGGCATGCGGACCTCCTATGGGCAAGCAAAGTACAACTCCCTTGAGGTCACAGGGAAGGGGCTCAGGAGTTCCTCAAAGAGTGGCTGAAAAGACAGTAAAGAGGTGAGAGCTGGTAGGGCTCTGGGCGAGCCACCAATGCCTACACCAGTGCAGCTTCTGCAATCTGAACAGCTGGGTTGAGAGCCATGCTCTGGGTGGGCCCAGGGCCCACGAGTATCAGGCTATTCCAGCTTTGCAAGAAACACTATTCTGAAACTCAGCTGTGAGTTGCTGAAAATAAGGGTAGAGTGCAAGGAAGTTCCTGGCAAATATTTATGTGCAAGAAATCATCAGTATTACATAAAAGAAGTTAAATTGGGATAATTTCTTTAATGTTCCGGTTGTGCTTTCTCATTTGATTATAATGGTTACCCATGACTTTGGCTAGATTAAATCAGCTAAATGCATATTAGTAGTCAACTAAATGCATATCTAATGTAAATAATGTCTTACCCTGTCTTCTTTCTCTGCAACTAGCTCCTCACATCCCAGAGGGAATTTTCCAATTCAACATCAAAGACTGATTAAACATTTGGTACAGGAGCTTAAAAAAAATGACTGTGTAATTTTATATTACATATACATGCTAGATAAAAAATAAACAAATAAAAACTTCCTCTGGGTGCTGAAAGTTTGGAGTCAATCTTCTAAAAGGCAAAGAGAATGGGGAAAGTAATTAACCACTTCAGAGTTCATCAACAAATTAAAGTCTCATATCTCAAAATTTCATGATTAAGCTATGTGATCACTAATCATCTTGTAAGTTGCCCACCATTCTAACCAATCATCAATCCAAAGGTTACATTTTTATAGTTGTAAGTATCCCTTTCAATTTAATATTTAAAATAGAATAGAGTTTAGAAAATATGGATTTATAGAGACAAAAAAATAAGACAAATGCTTAAAGTATTTTACAAGGCGTTTGGCCCAACTAAAACTGCTGTTTTTTGGATCTTACAGTTTATTCTGGAGATGTGAGTGGTGTTTCCTCATAGCATGAACAAGGTAGTCAAAGGAGCAGGTTGGCCCATTGCCAGTTTGGCTGGTAAATCAATACAAGGTCTACCATACTGAAACCTCCACGACAAAAGACAAAGGGAGAGGTGAGGAGGACACCAGCTTGAGTCTCCCGGTAGCAGCTGGCACCTCTGGTCAGGGCTAGCTTAAGAGTAATTTGGCTACTACAGTTCACAAAAATTAGCATAGAGACACACAAAGACTCTCTGTCAATTCACTTGACATGTTTTTCTGTTTCTTGCAAATCTATTGCTCCTACCCACCACCTCCAAATACATACACTTTGGGGGAAATGAAAAGAGTGCTGCACTAGAAAGCAGGAGCTTTAGAATCCCTGAGCAAATTACTTAATGTCTTTGGCTTCCCATCTATGAAATGAATAATAAGTACTTTTCCTATTTGAAACCCAGAAGCTGGGCCCAGACTTCTTGATCCTAGACCACCCACTCAATATCCTATCCTGGGGCTTCTTCTCTATAGATAGCAATGGCTCTGCCCTCCAGCAGAGCACAAGCCATCCATACCAGGTGCCACTCAGTGGCCTAACTCTCAGTTTTAGATTCTTGGAAAGAAAGGCCCATGGGCATTTCTATGCCTCCAAATTTTACCTTTGGAAAACACCAAATTATATATTAAAGAAATACCCAAAGAGAGTCTAAGATGCAAATCCACTCTGATATAAATATTTGTTTGTCAATAACACCTGCTACCAGATGGCTTCCACAACACCATTTTTAAAGTTGGCAGATGCCAACCTGAAGAGCTTCGGGTGCTAGTTTCCTTACAGCTGAAGGAGGCAGCACAGGCTCTAACAGCTCTATCAGGAAGACACAATGCAAATTTGGACTAAGATGACCAGCCCACCCAAGTTTCACTACCTTCATTCTTAGTTTGGAAAGAGAACTCAACTACTGCCAAAGAGAGTTGTTATACCATTATGTAGCGATGAGGATGCACCTCGAAGACCTCCAACTACACGGAGTGTAATTGGCCAAGGGCCCCAGCTGCTGTGTTCTGAAATCCATCCCCACATTCTCTCAGAGGCTGCTATGCCTCCCCATGGGACACTGCAGGAGTGCATCAGGGATGCTAAGGCAGGCCTCTGATGACTAACTTTGTTTAAGGACCTCCTGATGTCTTGGCTGCCTCTGTCTGCCTAGCAGACTAGTACACCTCCACTGAACCTCCTCTCCTCTCACTTGGAATAAGACTTGAAACGTGGTCTGATGATTCTCTCGGCCTTTTCCAGCTCCTTTCCTAATTCCTTTCCTGCAGACACTTCCCCTAATAATATCCTTGTACTTTTAGTCTCGACTTGGCATCTGTTTCTCAGAGGTCCTGACTAACATCATTCATTCATTTATTCATCCACTCATTCATTCATTCAATAAATATTTATTGAGTGCCCACAACGCTCCTGGCACTTTGTGCTAGGCACTGGGGAGAGTGGTATAAGACTGAGAAGGCTCCTACGTTCATAACCATCCCCCTCAGGGTCATAAACTGCTTCCCTTTCTTTGGCTCTTACCGTGTGCTGGGCACTGAGCTAAAAGCACATCACATGCCTAGACTCATTTGCTTTTCACAACCACCCTTAAAGGAGGTATTATTCTTGTTTCATGGATAAGGAAACCAAGACCTAGAGAGATTAAGCTGCCAGGGGCTTCCCTGATAGAGCCAGCTTTTATACTCCAAAACTCATGTTTTTAACCATTAGGCTATGACGTATCTCCCCCACTTGGGTGACTGCTCCAAGCACTTTCTTTTCTGGCAATGATTGCACATCTATATAACTGATTTTCCAAAGCCCAACTTCATTTCTTTACTTTAAATTTATGATGGTGTGGGGGATGAGAATTTGCCACCCTAAAATGTGGCTCTTTGGCTTGATTATTTTTAAGAACAAAAGACTCCAAAAGAAACTTTGACCTTCCCCCTAAGTTCCTAAAAGAATTTAAGATAGAAGGCCTGTTCCAGAAAGGCGCTATCACCATAGATAACTATAGTATAATATGAACTAGGTGAGATAGACAGGGAGGAACCTAGCAAGACCCATTTGATCAAAGTCAGTTCCATGTTTCATTGTCTCTGTAAGGCATAGCAAACACTTGTTTACCAAACATTTGCTTTTCCAGTTCCATGTGAATTGCCTTCCTCCTCTCTGAATTCCAAAACCACTATACCCAACATTCTCCTCTGTCTTTAGCTAAAGATGGTATTTAAAGTGGTGGCTTCAGCCATTTTGGTGAGTTACTCAGTTTTCCTGGGTTTCCCCCATGTATACATGTTATTAAACTTTGATTTTCTCCTGTTATTCTGTCTTATGACAATTTAATTCTTACACTAGCCAGAAGAATCTAAAAGGTAGGAGAACAGTTCTTCCTCCCCTACAAGGGCCAGGGAAACTATTTATAGAAGAAGGAAATAGCACTTCAGAGCATTCATAGTCCTACACTGTTCCAAAGACAGGTTAATGATGATATTATTTAACTCATGCAGAAGAGGAGGTCCATTGCCTGGTCAGAATTTCCAACTCCTCTTCACTATTACAAAGAAGATAGGAGAGGACAGGCAAACCCCTTGGCTTCTCTGCTTTTCATCCTGGTCACAGGCCAGCTCTGGCAAAGATGGAAGGTGGCCACATACATCCAAGGCTTCTCTCAGAGGCCAGCCAGGCATACTGGTCAGTCAGCCACACCAACCCGTGTGTCAGCTGAGAGTACCCTTCTGAATATTGATGCAAACTCATACCATGATCTCCAGGGTCAGCTATGGTGTCCTCTACACTTGACTCAAGTGCGCTGAGGTCCGGGGAAGGAACGGGCTGAGATTCAGGCAGGTTCTCTGAAGTTGGGTCATCAAATCCCTTGTGGAAGGTAATTAACAATTCATGAGAAGCTGGTAGAAGGAAACAGCATTACCACAAACGAAACAATATTCTTGTTTAGAAGACTATTTAGAAACAAAAGCCTACCTAATCCTCTCCCTTAAACATGATAACATTTTCAAATTTCAACAAGGCAGCTTGGGATATGAGAAACAGCCTTGAATCAACTTGACAGGGGACCTTGGGCAAAGCATTTAGCCTCTCATGGCCTCAGTTTCATGGCCTCAGTTTCAGGGCAGTGACTAGGGCGAGGCAGGCGGAATGCTCAAGGTGCATAACTGAAGGACGTTCTCACTTTCAGGCTCACGAAGGGCAGGATGGATCGGCAGCTGAGGACGGACGAATACCTCCTTCAATTTTGCACCCTGGGTATCACACATTTCATTCTAGTCCAGCTCTGCTCAGTTTCCTTATCTCAAAATCAGAGGTGTTGCCCTGGATGACTTCCAAGTTCTCTTCTAGCTTTAAAAGTTCTGTGATTCTATGAATTCCAATTTCCTAAAAGAAAGAGATCTAAGAGGCCACATGAGAGAATTTATACTTCAAAAAAATAAAAGTTAAACTTCCCAAATATATCAATAGGTATTTCAACAAATCATTTTGCCTTTTTCTTCAGGTATTTTTTGTGTGTGTGTTTGCAACCTAGAGCTAATGCTGAATTGACCTATTTTCCTTGATAAATGGCTTTCATGGAGAACTATTACAAGAATGTCTTCTTATTAAAAACAGAAAGGAAAGTTCAAATTAATCTGAAATGAATAAGTAAAACAAAGCTTTGCCACACTGTGGTGCGGCATTTGTGAAAATACAGTCATAAAATATTTTTAAGTCCATTTTTTGTACTGTATAATAATTGTTGCAGGAGGTAAAACAGGTTCCAAATTTCAAAGGATCACTGACAGCACAGAGAGAACTTTAAGAACAAAGAACAGAGACTGCATGAAATGCATTTTTACATGTACTTCAGAAATTATTTGAAAATAAGTATTTGGACTCCCAATTGACTTTGATTTGCTGAGGTTCTCTTTGAAGAGAACAGATAGAATTGTTATAATCCTTCTCTTAGAAAGAGAAGGACTTGATCTGATCTTCCATCTCCATTACTATTTCACGTATGGAGACCTGATCTGCTATGCACTTTTCACAGAAACCTAATTTTGGCACCATCACAACTATACATGTATACATACAGGATAAAAGAAAGACTGGGCTCATCGTGTATATTATGGTATCCAGTTGTTTTTAATCTACCATCCTTTAAAGAAACGGTGCCTAAGATGATTCCACATTCAACTATGCTTCAAGATTTCAAAACCCAAATTCAGCCAAGCAGAAAATCCCTGCCAAAATAAAAGGCCCTGTCAGTTAGGGTCTGAAAAACAAAACAAGCCATTCTCCTAAATGCCTCAGAGAATTTTTATGACATGTTTAAGAGGTAACAGAGCCAGCCCATTTTCTCCCCTTACTCTGATTCTATCTCCTACAATTGATTTCGAAAAATAAAGTGGTTTGCTTCAGCTGGCAAGAGAGAAGGAAAAAGAAATAGAGAACAGAGCCCCAATGAGATCAGGAAGAAATGATAAATCATAAATATGCATATAAGGGCAAAGACAGGAACATTTTCCTCATCCTTCCTTTTCTCCTTCTTTATCAAGTTTTTCTTCAGCCTCTTGCATCTGATTAATCCAGTTTCTTTCTTATATTTTATCTCATCTTTTTCAGCTCAATAATGCCTTTTCCTGAGATGTTTAAAACCCTTCAGTCCTCTGCAAAGTGTTCAGCTTCCTGTTTTCTCCCACCTTTGTTCTCTGAATATCACTACACCTGCCTCACTCTTGTGAACATGATTAAACTTGCCTCTGCTCTGCCTGGCCTCCTCTCTTCCTCCTCCTGGGGCGAACAAGAAAGCCTTCCCTCAGGTTGCTCCTCCTTTTCTTCTGTTCCCATTAAATGCTTTTTTTCCTAAAAAGATTATAAGAAGGTCTGTTCATCATGGCTTTTCCAGGTCTTCCTTCGTCTGAAGATGAACTGCTGCTTTCAAGAGGCCCAATTTCTGTCCATTATTAATCAGAGTGTGGTCCTGGACCAGCAGCATCAGAATCATCAGGGAGCTTGTTAGAAATGCAGCATCCCAGGCCCCACCGCAGACCAACCAAATCAGACTCTGCATTTCAACAAGACCAACTGGTGATTCTGGTGCATTCTGAAATTTGAGAATATTGCTATAAGCCATAAGAACTTGGAGGAGGGCCAGTGGATTGTGGACCTGAGAGGTCAAAGAAGGTTTTCCTGAAGAGGAGGTGACATTTGAAAGACAGAAGGTGGGATGCCAACGATGGGTCAGAGGGAAATGGCTGAGGTAATTGCACAAAAGAGGGCAAGAGACCTGGAGCTGCTGAGCGACCCTGTCAACAGGACTGAACCAGCTAGAAGAGGATGTTATCTTCAAGAGCCAATTATCTGCTTGGAGCATTTCCTGCTCTCATCAATATGCAAACTTAGGAAATATGCTTCTGGAATGCTCAGGGCCAAAGATGTTGGTGCTACTGAATCTCAGACAATCAAAGAACGAACCAATGTCTCTGGCCAAGACAGCATCAGGCACTTCCCTCTTTGCTCCTTGCTGATGGAAAGGGGACGGAATTGGGAAGCAGTAGGTAGACACTGTGGAAGTTATGAGTTGGCACTTCACAAAATCTTTGTGAAATCCTCACTTTCTTTGTCTGAGTTGGGCCGAGATATGGACTATCCTCTAGCTCCCATGTTCTATGGGATAATATAGAGCTAATAAAATCTCCTGAGATTCCGCCTGCCATGTGGTCTCAGTCTTAAGTTACTTCGGGATCCCCCCCAAGGACCTTGGTTTATAAAAGGATCAGGACTTTATATAGTGCTAATTGCTTAACACTGATAATAACGCTGATAAATGAAAATAACACAAAAATGATTATTTTGAAGGGTCAATGAAGAAAAGCAAAAAAGTTAAGTAAGACACTAAAATGTAATCTCATACTTGAAACTACATTTTTATTTGCCATATGGTAACTTCAAGAATAAAGAAAGTTATTTAGGTTTTATAAAACAAATACTACTACATCTGTACTTCTCAATTCCCAATCTCTGGGGGTAAAATCCCATAGAAGCAGGGGTCCCTGAGCATTCCAGAAAAAAGTTCCAGTTTCTATCAGCTGATTGAACGAGTAGTTCACACATAGTAACAAACACAGAACTCTTATCCTGCCAGACTCCTTGTGAGGGTCTGTGGGAATCTGCAGTTCTCAGTCCTGTGGGGAAGAAAGCCGACAGACCCAGGGAAGATGACCCACATTCACAAGTTATCATTTCAGGGGAAAGTGTCTGGGGAACTGAAGAAAGGTGCCCAGTGTTAGAAGGGGGCTTGGGTCCTTCCACACAGAGGTAGCATCAAGACCCTTCTCTGAGCAGGATCCGACACTGCTGCTGACCCTATGCCCTTTCAGCCAGCAATTTCTCCATACACCAGGCTCCATGAGCAGGAACGATCCCATCTCCCACGTCTCTGGGGCCTGCAACAGATCTCACAGCTGGCTTCATTTAACGGAGTGAGAGATGGGTGGAGAAAGGGGGGGTGGGATAGAGCACTTAATGCCAGCGTCTGCACATTGTCTGCTAAAGGCTCTAACAGAGGGAGACTCTTGAGATCAGAGAAGGCTGGGCCCTCTGTCTGGTCCAACTTCGGGTTTTCAGAACTTGAAATCACTCACAACCACTAAATAATTAAGAAAGGTGGATTACCTCCCAGAAGGAGGCAGAAAACAAGCATTCCTAGGCTCTGCCTGGCTGATAGTGAGCTCTGCTGGGGGCCCCGCACGCCCCAGGGTTTGGAGCCCTCTGATTCCTGAGCCACAGCAGAATGAACGTCCCCATACTTCAGGGACCATCCACACAGCCTCAGGGGGGTTGGTTCTTCCTGCTAAAGGAAAGAATCTCCCTCAGATGCAGGGATCTCCAATGAATGGACAAGCAGAATTTGAGACAGTAAAGTTCTCCATAAAAATGACTCCTTCCCAAGTTGCTTTTACCAGAAGAGCCAGGAGACTGGTGTTGATGTCTATTGTCCAAACACAACCCTGAAAGAAGACTACTTTAAGTTTCAGAGCCTACAAGAAGGCCTATGAAGATTTTTGTGTGTGTGAGGAAGATTAGCCCTTAGCTAACCTCTGTTGCCAATTCTCCTCTTTTTGTTGAGGAAGATTGGTCCTGAGCTAACATCTGTGCCCCATTTTATGTGGGATGCTGCCACAAGATGGCTTGATGAGTGGTGCATAGGTCCGCACCCGGGATCTGAACCTGCGGAACCCAGGGCCGCTGAAGCGGAGCACACGAACTTAACCACTACGCCACCGGCAGGCCCCCCATGAAGATATTTTTAACCATTAGAGAAAATGGTATTTGCTATTCAGGGGCTTGGGATGCAGAGGACGAGAATTTGGGGTTGATTTCATGTGAATCTGCAACCCTATTTATTATTGGATATCTATGGTAATTCTTCAAAGTTTGAAAAGGGTTATTAACACAATGCACAATGATATGGAAGGGAGACAGAAAACAAAAAGAGAAAGAATAAAAAATAAGAAAGAGAACAATGCACTAAAGAGGAAAAGCAACAACAGCATCACTGAAATTCAAAATTAGATAGACACACCTCTGTTCCGCAAAGTCACAATTTTAACCCATCAACTGTTCATTCAGCCCTGATGAAGTTATCTCATACACAGTAGGCACTCAATATTTGTTGTATGAATCTATTGATCTATCTATCTCTAAGTACAGCTGCTTTGAATTACTGTAGTCACTAACAATTGGCCTACATTCTAAAATGAACCCCAGTATATCCTCCCTGGAATTGGGCAAAGTTGATCTGGATGCTTTTTTTTGCTACCTTGTCCTTTTCCCTACCCAACTGGCCCATGAATCTGAAGAATCTGGAGCAAGAAAAGGTTTTATGTAAAATTTAAAGTAAGAGAGTACTCACATGGAGTACATCAACACTTAGCTGTTGAAAGTTCCGAGATCTCAATTCTTGCATTCGTTTGTTATTTTCTTCATATTTTTCTTCCACAAGCTTTCTGCAAATTTAAAGTGAACACAGAAAAATAGCTGCAATTTGCTAAAACCACATCTGTATTATGCAAGAAAATGTGAGCCCTGTTTCAACAGGCAAACTAGGGTGTTGGGAAGCCAGGTCAAGGGATCTCTCCCTCATCAAGAGGTGTGCAGTGCAGCATCCATTTGATTCTCTTTCAAAGCACATGCAAGAATGTTCTGGCTCCTTATTCACCCTTAGAACTCCTAAAAGCAGCAGAAGATTGTACTGATCCCTGTGTATTCTCTGACTGCGACGACAGGGGTGTGTGTCCCCGATGCCCAGCACAGTGCCTAACACATACTAATAACTCAACAACTGCTTTCAGGATGAACAGACGCATAAACATGGAAAAATAGAGCTACATTTCAAAGAATTTATGGAAAAGAATTTGAGACTCACTAGGGAGGGGAATTTTTCTCAGACACATTTTCTTTGTTTCCTCTACTACAGGACAGTGAATTTAATAGACTTGCTACTAAACTGGAAGAAAGATTTGAGTTCTTGTGAGTACTCATGTGCTAATTTATACTTAGATTTTTTGAAAAGTCACTGAACATGCCTGAAGTCAAGTTTTCCTGTCTATAAAATGGGTTTTACAGACAAGACATTATAACCCTTCTGTCAATACAGCTGTTTTCTAGCTAAAACGCATGACCACTCGAGTCCTAGAAATAATGATCAAAAACAATTCCGATGTAAGTCATTCATAAAATCAAGACCAAATTTTATTTAAAAGCCATTGGCTTTAAATAAGAAAAATATTAAATGTCACGTGAAAGATCTATGACTTTCCTTTGTGTACAAAAAACAGTTTTAATCTGAAAAATAATTTGTAATGTGCATGTAAGTAATTAGTCTTTTTAATCTATTCCTGTCAGAGATTTAATTTTCTTTTACCCTCAACCAACAACATGAATCATGGTACTTGGAAATATTGCCATTTCTGAGGTATTAGAAACAAGTTTGGGACTGTGAGCTGATGCAATGGCTCAAACAATTTAAATGAATATATTTTCTCAGTAAAACCCACACTCAGTGGTATAGTGGTTTGCAGAAACCAACTCGCACCAGCTCCCAAGAGCAGATGATGTACATATCTTCCCAACTGAACATTCAACGATATCACATTGGTATAGCTAGAAATTGGCCAATAGTGGGAGTATTTACATCAAAGAAATCAGCAGCCACCCCCACCCTCCCACAACCCCAGAGGTGGTTGTTCAACATTTACCAGCACACTACCACCCATGATGTACTTTGATGGAAACCTTTTTCCACATTTACTAAAGAAAGCATGTGTTAAGGGAAAATAGTCTCACAGATTCTTACGTGGTTCATCATGATATTCACTGTAAGCACAAGGACACCTCTAAATCATTTTTTAGTTATGTTAACAAGGGCACAAAACAAACAGATTTGAGTTTCAGGTCTTTTCTGTCTCTCTAGTTCTTCGTTGGGGCTTCTAAGCTACCAAAAAGTTGGCAGAAGAAGAAAGAAGAAAAAAATTAGGAAATCGGATAATCTATCAACTGAAAAATCGGTCTTTGAGAAACTGGGATTCTGGGCTCTATGGAATTCCCATTTTTCATGTAAATACTCTAATCACCAGTGATATCTCCCACCAGCAGCACTGCCTTGGGCAGAGACTTTTCAAAGGGCTTCACTTGACAGAACACAGTTCTGTTTCCAATCTGCTAAGGCCAACAATTTCCTGCCACTATATTCTTCCCCACATAGAAGAGTTAGGTCTCCTGGCATAGGGGCTACAGCAAACATCTGGGAATGAGGATGGGACAGTGAAAGCCGCCTTTTACCCGCTCACTGGAGTATGTACAGGAGGCGTTGGCAACAATAAGGCTTCATTTGGAGGCTGACTCTGTATTTTCATTACTAATAGCCTCCCTGATACTCAGTTTTTCTCTTCACACAGGACTGAAAACCTGGTATTAATAGCACCTGGCATCCAATAACCATCTATGGCTCAACAATTATCTTTTGAGCAAACAAGCGAATGAGTAAACAGATAAATATATAATGAGTATGTGCGTTTTGGTTTTTGCTTGTCTTCAGTAAATTCCTTTAGAGCCTTGGGAAGTGGCCGAGGGCCCAGGGCACCCTAAGGAAAGGCAGCTTACTTCAGCCTCCTGGCCTTCTCATCAGCTGCCTGGAGCTTCCTCAGCCGCATCCTTTCTCTTGGTGTCATTTTCTGCACTTCAGACAGCGCCCGCAGAGTCTGCAGGTGGATCTTTTTTTGCCTATAGATAATAAAGATTCCCCACATGCAACCCATCCCAAAGATGCTCAGAAAAATTAAACAAATATTTTACAGAAGTATCATTACACCACGGAGAAAAGCATCTTGAGACAGGCCAGGCAAAAACCAATAAACTCTGGGTAGGTAATGAGCCAACCAGAACTGTGGTTAATTGGCAGTATATTTCAAATTAGATTTTTGTTTAAAAGTAAATTATGTACTTTCCAAATTTCTGCTCATTTAATTGCCTATGACTGGTTTTCATAACATAAGACAAATTAAGATCTTGGCCATTAAGAAGTAAATGGACTGGCAGACCAATTCAACCATGTGGATAGGACACAATCTTAGGAAACAGGCAGGATTTGAATCCCATCTCCACCATTAACTAGCTCTGCAGCCGTGGGTGAGTAACTGAACCTCTCTGAAATTCAGTTTTCTCATCCATAAAGAATGGGCTATAGTGAGAACTATATGAGATAATGTATTCAAAGTGTCTGACACATTAAAAGTATCCAAAAATGGTATTATTAGAATAGCTAAATCTTATTGAATATGTCTTCTAGTCTAGGCTTAATACAGGGCATTTTTATGGCAGCATGGCATAGTGGTTAATTGCACAGGCTAATAACATTCTCTGGGTTCAAATCCTACCTCTCAGGTTATATGCTATACGCCCTTGGGCAAGTTACTTAATGGCTCTATGATCATTAAAATAATAATAATAATGATAACAAATAATAATAATAATAATACCTACTTCACAGGGTTGTTGTGAGTTTAAATGAGTCAATTCACGTAATGTGCTTATAACAGAGCCAAGTGTAGGATCATGACCCCAAAAATGTTAGCCCATGTTATTATTTAAGAGCCTCTTTCTTCAGTTGAACAAATGCGCTTACATTAACCACATATTCAAAGGTCTACAACCACATTCTCAATGACATTTGTTTCTGTGCCTGACTTGGTTAGGGCTCAATACTGCAGAACACTTTTTGTACTCAACTTCCTCCTCGAGAAACACTACGAGAAAATTGTAATGACTACTGTAGGCAGGTCTCCTCCCTCTGGGATACCATCCAGCCCAGAGCCTCCAGGGGACGTGCAATTTTCAGGAATATACATCCCCTATTTTGTAAGATCAAATAGATCTCCTGAAAATATAGTCATAGATCCTCAAAATAACAGTGACGATTTGAAATCAATGTTTCATAATGTGAAATACCATCCAAACAATTGGATTCTAGCAGACTCTAATTGTAAGCAGTGTCAGGCACACTGTTTCACAATTGCAGTGCAAAGCGATAGCTAAAATTAGTCCAGTACTTTAAAAATAAGATATCTACTACTATCACATCTCCAGTTTAAAATAAAAATAAAATAAAAGAAGTTCTGAGCTTTCTTGAAAGAATAGGTAGCAACCCAAGAAAATTTGGTTATAGGAAGCACACTTAAAAATTCATCCCTTGAGGTGCAGTGTATTTTACCTGGAGATCATGCATTAAACAAAGAATTAATATCTTTGATGGACCAGTTTCTTCAGTTGTGAATGTGAAGATGGAAAACAAATATGGTGCAGTTGAGAAACCACCGGACTGGTGTTAGAGAAGCATATTTATACTATGTGGTCTTGAAGATCTGGGCTACTTAATGAGGGCTACTGTTCTCACCCCACCACCTTGCACAACCCTGGAGAAGGACTGCCATTCTCATCAGGTCCTTATAAAATTAAATAGAAGATTCCTTCAGCAAAAATTATAGATTTGGTCTTTATAAGTGGTGCCCCCGGGAGTTGTTCCATATGTAGTCTGCACAGCTCTACATGGCTGTTCTGAAGTAACCTAGTATTCTGGGCTCTTGTAAGTTACAGCACAGGTATTTTGAATGAGGTAGGAGAGACAACTTAGGCCAGGAAATAATTATGGTTCTTTGTGAAATACATTGTCTAGTTTTTATGTATATCTCAAGAAAGTGAATTTTGGCTTATTTTCAATTGTATTTTCATGACTCCACATGCTGTCTTTTCAATAGACACTCTGCCAATTCCTATTAAACAAACAACATGTGAAAGCCATTTATGCTTAATACGGAACGTTCATTAGCATAAATATCACTAAATGTTTGAGATATTAATTTCTCTATATACTTATAAGGCAACTACAGCGCTACCCTGCAGATCTGTAAGCTGTGCAGGGGTTTAAACTTTTATGATTTCAATTTGCTACCACCTGGGGCAAAGGGCTTTGCAAGGCCAAGTTACTGAAGCTCCTTAATTTCTTGGCAAGCCTTAAGCGGATTCTAGGATACTCCATGCAGTCAGTTTAGCACTAATAGATTTTTAAAGACAAATGCATTTAACATTTACGCTCAATGGGCTTTTTAAAAACAAAGAGATTACTTACACAGCATTAACTATATGAGTAGCCTCCTTCTGACAATTCAAATTCTTGTCTTCCGGAGTCATTTCCGAATATCTACACATCAGGTGCTGAAAAAAAACATAACCCTTAAGACACCTTAAAGACTCCTCTTCAGGGATGAAAGGGCGTAAAACTACCAGGTGCCTTTTCTGCTTTGCAGTATTATTGACCATGTCTGAGAGCTTGAAAACAAAACCCACTGGTAACTACTATTCCTTATATAAAGGGTTACACAAAATTTCACGGTAACTTATGCGACAAGATCCTGCTGGGTCAGCTCCCGCCCACCTCCCCAACTCCATCTTGCACGGCGTGCTCTCTCAGTCCCCGTTCCCCAGCCTTGGGCAGGCCTTCCCTCAGCTCCAAGAACACACTACTCTCTCTCACCTCTGGGCCTGAAGTGGACAGTGTCCCCACCCCCAGGGCCAGGACCAGGGTGAGATGAGTGAGGCTCTCACCTCAGGTGCAAAATGTAAGAGGGCACCAAAGAGCTCAATAACCGAAATAAACAATATTTTAATGCAAATTATAAAAAAGTTAAAATTAATGCTAAAAAAGCCGTGAAGAATACATCAAAAGTTGAAATAAAGATAGGATCCAACCCTGAACTGGCATCCTTCCACCTCACTCGCCTCACCCTAATCCTAGCCCTGCTGGACCCTGTCTTCAAACTTTCAATATTTTGTTGCCATGGATTTTTAGCATTAATTTTGATTTTTAAAATATTGCATTAAAATATTTTTTATTCTGTTTACTGAGTTTTTGGTTCACTCTTTAATTTTATCCCAGGGCAAATGCCTCACTTGCCTCACCCTAGTCCCAGCAGATCCCCTTGGAGCCCTTTCGACTTTTTTTGTTATGCTCACAGCCCTTCAATGTGGTTTTGATCCCAACAGCCAGCCCCTGTGCCTCTTTTTCAGAGGCCTGCTCCCCGGCTAGTGGAGCCGGCTTTGCCTCTACAGAGGGAGAGCTGGAAGGACAGGGAACTTCCGCCCACCTCCCCTCTCCTGTCCTGCTAACCCCCCTACCTAGGGGTTTCCCCTGGGAGCACATTCTTGCACAAGAACTCTCCCCTCCATATCTCCCTCCAGGGAACATGACCTAATTCAGGCCTTTGTACCAGTTATTGCCTGTGATGACAACACTTTCTAGGCTCTTTACACTGCTGGCTGCTTCTCACATCTCATTGGTGTCAAAATGTCACCTACGCTTTCTTTGACCATCAAAGCCTCTCCCCCTCCCTTATTTTACAGCATCTTGTTTGCTTTCTTCCTAGGGCTCCTGATAATTAATAACCATTGTATTCATTGGCTTACTTTTTCTTGGTTAATGGGTTCTCTTACTACCAGTCAAGCTTCTGAGGGACAGGAGCCACATCTGTTCCTTCCATTTGAGTACCCCAGTGTCAGCTCAGAGCCCTGAACTCAGCTACCGAATGCACATCAGGTCAGCACCTTGATTTCTGAGGATTTGGAACTCGACACTGATGAAAATGTGTGCACATTTTTAAAGGTCAATGACTGCTTTGTGGGTCCTCTTAAAGCTATTCATAAAATTAAAGGAAATTCGCCTGAGGAAATTTGTATTGTAAAAGCCTAAGAAGTTAAAAAAACCCTCCTGGGAGGGTACCATCGGCTTTTTTCTTACCACCGGAGGCAGATTCTCTGCATCAAATTTTCTAATCTACAGGAAAGCAAAATAAACTCACCTAATCAATAAAAAGTATTATTGAGATATATAATAAAGGAGTGGAATAACAAAGGCTCAATGAAGCCCCCCATTTTCAGTATGACTATTAGTACATTGTTGTCCTAGCAGGGATATATTTACAACACGTTGAGGTAAGATTTGTTAACCAAGAGCTCTAAGGGCAGATGGCGAGTTTAGGCAGAAAATCACAATCCTAACTTCTCACATCTGGGGCACCAGGGAACTGGAGTTCACACACTTGCTTTTGCAAAGAGATCATCCTGACTAATAATTTCCCTCAGCTTTTAAAGAAATATTATTTCTCCTCTCTGACTGATTCTTAATGCATCTTATTCCCACAGCATATCTTCAAGTCGTAGAGTGTATATAAATGTTAATACATGTTTCCCGGTATCGCTTTCATTTTAAATACCTGTAGTTGTTCATCAATGTAAGGGATTTTTAAAATTTCTATAGCAGATGGTCTCAACGACGGATTCTTGTTCAACATGCTGTAATGTTTAAAAAGAAAATTTTTTTTCAAATCAACTAAAATATAAATACAATTTAAAACTGTTTCTGTGGCACTATATTTATTTCCATACCATTCCATGACGGAGTTCAGTTCTCTTGAGTATCTCTCAGGGAGAGAAGGTGTGTCGCCTTCAACAATTTTTAAAACAATGGACAAGAAATTGGAGCCAGTGAATGCATGATTCATGCAGCACATCTCATATAAAATGCATGCCAGAGACCTGAAGACAAAGTCAAAGAATTTAAATATGGAACAAATGTCCTATTTTAAACGTGATCCTCATACAAAACCTCAGATGTGTTAGGGCACTGTTGTGAGGCACTAACAGACACTTTAGTTGTTTGTTTAAAAGCTTCAGTTCCATACTGTTCTTTTCCATTCAAACATGTTGACTAAAAAAAGAGGAAAAAGTTAAAGAAGAAAGCACAAAATATAAGTCTGAATGATCAATTTTTATCAGCAGAGAGCAAACAAACCAACAGGAATATGCCTGCATATATGAAGGACTCAATAAACATTTGATCAATATAGTAAAGAATTTTTTAATTAACCTCTATGAAGGAAAAAGAAAATGCAGCTAAATATTGTCTTCCTAAGGCAGCTTTGTTAACGTTATATATGCAAAATAAAATTTTAATTTATCAGCCTCACCTTCCCTCTAACGCGTATCCAAGCATTTTGAAAAGGAAACTGGCATTCTTTATTAGTTTTCTGAATAGAATCCATTTGCAAGTAGGGTGGAAAAGCAGCTACTTGCAGCTCACATTAAAATGTATAATTCTCCCTTCGAGGGTATGAAGCAGAATATTAAAATTCTAGATCAGTCCAACACTGATTTGGATAAACCATGCAAATCAGTAACCTCTACACCAGCAGAAAAATCTTTTAAATAACTCTACATCAAAAAAAAAACTAACGGGAAATTCCTGCCTGAACTCAGTGTTAAGAAAGAACTGTACTTCCTCTGAATAATGGGTTATTTTTGTCTTATGGGCATTATGAATTATGTGATTGGTCAGGTCTCCCTTTTCATGTTAGTTGCTTGAAAGATTAGAAATAAATTTGTGATTGACCTTGTGTAAGCTGTGTTTTATGTAACTTTTAACACTGTCCTTAATCCTTTCTCATACAAGGAAGGGTATGTACAAATAAATACATACATGAATACTACCATTTTAATTATTTTGTGGATGTTCATGAAAATGTGCATTTGTAAGAGAATTCCGGATATATACACTGAGAATGTTTCTGTTTCAGTAAATAATAACACTAAAAATTTCCAACTGTACTTTACATTTTATAAAGCACTTTCATATATATCTCAACAGAGCCTCATAACTTCCCAGTGAAATAGAGCCAATGTTATAATTTTCCCATTTTATACATAAGGAACCGGGCTCAGAGTAGTTAAATGACTAGGCCAAGGTCACACAGGTGACCTTGACTGACTCTCAAATTAAGGTATTTGTCGTTCCAAATCCTGGACTATTTCATTACAGAATGCTAGAAAGAAGGGGGATATTAAGAGAAATCATATAATACTGACTAGAATACCAAGATCAATGTGAACATTATAAATTATGAAAATTATTTGGAGCTCAATAAATTTTGCATCCATCTGTAAGACTATAAAATGGTATCTGGTGTAGTAGCACATATTTAGATGTCTATACCCAGAAAAAATTTCCTTCAAATAAAGGTGAAATAAAGACATTTTTAGACAAAAACTGAGAGAATTTATTGCTAGCAAGAAAGCACTAAAATCCTAAAACGTAGTTCTTCCAACACAAGAAAGATGATGCCAGACAGAAACAAGGAGTGCGAGAAGGAATGAAGGCCACTAGAAAGAGTGACTTTGTAAGTATGTATAAATCAATATTAACTCTATAAAATAATATTAAGAATAGCTCGTGGGGTTTAAAAATCATGTAGAGTAACATTTCTTGTCAAAAATAATGCAAAGACATAAAAGGATAAACAGAGTTAAAGTATTTTAAGGTCCTTGCATTATTGAGAAAGTGGCAAAAGTAATAATCTTTACTAGATTGTAATAAGTCAAGGATGCATGTTATAATTGTTACGGTTATCACCAAAAGAATAGTAAAATAACGTATAGCTGACAAGTGTATAACTAACAAGTTACTAGAGGAGAAAAATATCAAATAAAAATTCAAACCAAAAGAAAGCAAGAAAGGAGAGAAAAAGGAACATAAAACAAGTGGGATGTATAGAAAGCAAATAATATGGCAAATAAAATTACAAATATAGAGTAATTGCATTAAATGTAAATGGATAGTACTCTAATTAAAAAGACCATAAGACTGGGCAAAAAATTATATACTGCTCATGAAACAAAACTTAAATATAAGAACACAGAGCAGTTGATAGAAAGAGGTATATCATGCAAATACTTATCAAAATATTGCTGGTTTAGATATACTAGTATCAGACAAAGTAGACTTTGAGGCAAGAACCACTGCTAAGATTAAGATGGTGGATTGATAAAGAAACCAAACCACCAGAATGTGACAATTCTAAAACTGTATACACTCAATAACATTGTGTGTGTGTATGAAGCAAAAATTGACAGAATTAAAAGGAAAAATAGACAAATTCACAATCAGAGTGAAAAACTTGAACACAATTCTTTCAATAGAGGATAGAATAAGTAGACCCAAAAAACCAATAAGGATAGAGAAAATCTAAACACAATTACCAAAATTGAGTCAATTGACAAGTTAACATAAATGCATTCAACAATGGCAGAATTCAGATTCTTTTCAAGGATGCATGGAACACTCATCATAATTGACCACACACAGGATCATAAAGCAAGCCTCAACAGATTTCAAGGATTGAAATCTTCAGAGCATATTCTCTGACCACAGTGAAATTAAGGTAGACATTAATAATAGAGAGAGAGAAAAAAACTACAAAATCTCCAACTTTTTGAAAATTAAGGAATACGCATCCAAATAATCCCTGCGTCAAATAAGAAATCACAACAGATATTAGAAAATATTTTTAACTGAATGCTAATAAAGGTACAAAATATCAACACTCACTGAATTCAGCTAAAGTAAATGCTTATAGCAAAATTGAAAGCATTAAGTGCATATATTAACAAAGAAAAAGCCTTAACATCTATAATCTAAGTCAACTTGAGAAGCTAGAAAAAGAACAGCAAGTCAAACTAAAGAAAGTTTAAGGAAGGAAATTAAAAAAGAGTGAAAATTAATGAAATAGAAACAAACACACAATAAAAATAAAATCAGTAAAGACTAATAAATTTAATGGACCTTTAGCAAGACTGATCAAGAAAACAAGAAGGAAAAAACACAGAGATTAACAATAACAGGAATGGAAAAGGGTATAACACTATAGACTGCACAGATATTGGAAAGTATTAAGATGACATTATAAACATGATTTTCTCCAATAAATTTAACAAATTGGATAAAATGAACAGTCTTTAAAAAATATAACTTACCAAAGTGACACAAGAAGAAATAGAAAATCTGAATAGTCCTTTATCTATTAAACAGAGATAGCAATTATTTAAAATAATAATTTAAAAAAATTTTTAAAGGTTCCCACAAAGAAAACTCCAGGGTCAGATGGCTTTACTGGGAAATTCCTTCAAAAATGTAAGGAATAAAGAACACCAATTTTATTCAATCTCTTCTTTTTATAAAGTCAGCACAAACTTGATACGAAAATACACCAAGGATATTACAGGAAAGGAAATTTATAGGCAAATTTTTTAGGAACATAGATTCAAAAAATCCAAATACACATACACATACATACATATTAAAAATAGAATATGATGATATATTAAAAAGATAATATACCATGACCAAGTGGAACTTATTTCAGGAATGTACATTGACAATATTTGAAAATCAATCACTGGAATATACCTCATTATACAAGAAAAGAGAAAAAATATATCATCATCCTGATAGATGCAGAAAAAAGCATTTGATAAAATTCAAAACACATTTGTGCTTTTAAAAAGAAGAAAACTCTTAGCACACTGGGACTAGAAGAGAGCCTCCTTAATCTGATTTTTTTTAAGTTATAAAAATATATGGTAATATTATGCTTATTGGTGAAATATTGAAAGTTTATACCTTTATTTTGAGATCAAGAACAAGGTAAGGATGCCTACTATCACCACTTCTATTCAATATTGTAATGAAGCTGCTACCCAGAACAATAAGGCCAGGAAAAGTTAAAAATATATATATATATGAAGATTAGAAAAGAAGACATTAAACCATCATTAAACATTTCAATATGATTATGTACATACAAGGTCATTTCTATAAGCCTGCAACAAACACATTTTAAAAATGAAATTTAAAATGTCATTTACATTAACATCACAAAACATCAAATACTTAGGAATAAATCTAATGAATGATGTGCAAGATCCTACACGGTAAACCACAATACATTGGTAAGAAATTAAAGAAGACCTAAAATAAGTGGGGGAGGCGATAGATCCACATTCATGGATGGAAAGATTCAATATTATGAAGATACCAATTTTTCCCAGAATGACATAAAGACCCAATGCAACATCAATCAAAATCATAGCAGACTTTTTTGTAGGAATTGACAAGGTGATTCTAAAATTTATATGGAAATGCAAAGGGACAAGGATAGCCTAGGCAACTGAAGAACAAATTTGGAGGTCTTGTATTACCAAAGAGCAAAACTTATAAAGTTATATTTCTTAATGATATTGGCAAAGAAGAAAAAATAGACCAATGGAACAAAACAGAGGGCTCAAAAACAGATCCACACATATTTCATCACTTGATAAATGCAAAGATAAACTGCACTGTGGTGAAGGAAAAGATGATCTTTTTAACAAATAAGGCTGGGCCAATTGAATATCCATATGGAAAACAATGTATGTGGACTCCTATCTCACACCATACACATGCACAAAAATCAATTATAGGTGGATCTAACTGTGAAAGATACAATCACAAAGCTTCTAAAAAGAAACAAGAGAATATCTTCCTGTTCTTGGGGTAGGCAAAGATTTCTTAAACAAGATGCAAAAAGTACTAATGATAAAGTCATGGACTGATAAAATCGACTTCATTAAAATTAGGAACTTCTATTCATGAAAAGACACTGTTAGAAGAGTGAAAAGGAACTTACAGAGTGGAGAAGACACTTTCTATCCCGCCTCTCAACGTT